TAGATGACAAGTTGTCCATCGCCGCAACAGCATAACGTTTCAACTAGTTTTCAGCCACTCTGTGAACACAGTTTAAAGTCGAACCGAATAAATCGTTTAAAAAAATAATACGACACCCATTCTCATTAGAAATGTCACTTGTATAGTTTAATTTCAAAATTAAGGTTCGTAGGTCAAAATTTGTAAATTGGCGCAAAACTGCGGCAAAACCAGGTTTCGCAGAGCATTGACCCAGGCTGCACCTAGTCGCCTAGGGGGACCACTTAAGCAGGCTGAAGTTCAATGATATTTGAGCACATTCAGTGCCCAGATGCACCTCATAGCATTTTGTTTACCAGAGTCCCATCGTACTCATTACGAACAATATTTCAAGAGCTGGTGTTCCTCAGATGCCAGTTCAAAACATCTAAGCACGTTCGTATGACGAAGTATGTCAGATGGCGCGTGAATCATCAAAGATTTCACTGTGTATTGCATCCCGTGGCTTAACTGCCCAGGGACCGCTTAAGGAGGCCATGGCTCCACGATATTTGAGCACCTGCAATGCCAAATGCATCTCGCACCATTTTGTCTGCTAAAGTGACTTAAAGCTCATCACGAAAGCTGTTTTAAAGAGCTGGTACTCCTTATATACTGTAGCATAAACGTAAAATTAAGAATTTGCCAGCTGGAGTAATGCTTTCAGAAAGGAATGCGAAACAACCAATATTTGCCAAACCGAACAGCCTAAGACCCCGAGGTTGGCAAGTGTAACGAAGAAGACTGTGTTCAGACTCGAGTAAGCTCAAACGTTGGTACGGGATTGAGAACGTTGGAGACATTGTCTGACATGTATCCCTCCTACCCGAGAAAATAAGCGGCCGTCGAAACTGGCAACGATGCTGGAGTATGCTAACCAGCGAATAACTTATCCAGGATCAGATTTCACGCAGTACAAAGGCCATTTAAGTAGTAACTGTGATGATAATCCATTACGATTCCGTAGAAACGTTACAATCGATATAAATAAAGAGGTATTTTCTTCTTTTCATAGAACCAGAAAACTTGTAAGCTTCAGACCATCTAGGGAACGGTATCAATATGAGTTTACGATGTCATTAAAATATCTATTGCAATTAGTACATATTAAACATTAACTGATACTCCTGCTGCAGCGATTATATGGAAGTGGATCAGGAGCTCGCTGCGGTAGATTGAGACGATTGTGTCATCGACCAATGGGATAAGATGTCTGTCTGTAATAGAAAGTCTCACAGAATCCGTTGAACTGGGTGAAGGCTGGAAAAACGCCGGTGATAGTTCACCTGTTTGTACCTCGAATGAGCTGTCGAACAACCACCTGCCACAAATGCTAAAGGAAACAAGAAAATTGGAAACAGCCGCGGGATACCTTATCCGCTTAAACAACACATACAAATTCGTGAACCACAAAAAGCAATTGGTCCCGATGGTCAAATTGTTTGCTTAGCACTGGTAGCAGATGACGGAGAATCGAGAATACTGCAGGAGCGCCAACTTGCATTCGTGGCGCTCCCATGACTATCGCATGTCCAGCAAAAGATGATATAATTAATTACTGTATTTGATTCGTATAAAACTAATTTGTTAATGATGCCTTCACCGTTAAAGAGATTTTGACAGCTGCAAATCTAATCCAAATGTCAAGAGCACATGACTTTCATAGCCCGTGCCTTAGGGCTGCCAAAAAGGAAGCGATCCAGCTACTGAATAGCATTTAAGAGCAAAACATAGTTTGTTTTAATTCACTTATCTCCGGGTACGGTAGGTCAGTTGCCAAGAAAACCTATCATGAACTGCCATGGGCCGATCACTATATTTCTGTTGCAGAATTCAAACTAGATGAACACTTTTTCTTCCATACTCGAGGGTTATTTCACCTTCACTCGTCCCAGTAATCATTACAGCACATTTGAACGGAGCCCTCATCAGGGTCACTAATCAATGTTGGATCAGCGAGAGAAGAGAGGAGAAAATATACGGTATTTCTGTAACTTTATTAAAACATAAGGCACTCCTGACTGAGGTTATCGAAACGGCGATCAGTGTCACATCATAAGTTTCATGAAGGAAGGCTCCTACAAATGACACCCATCATAGATGTGTAAACGAAGCTTACATCCGAGAGATTAAACATTTTTCCTTTTCTTTCATCCTAGAAATCGTATCATGTCTTACCGTTTTGCGACAGTAACAACGTATGACCAAAAAGTATAAAATTCGCTTGAAATATGCCGTTGGGCTGTCACCGTGCACAAGTTGACATCAGATCGCTTAATCCACGAAAAATTTGCTGTTGAAGAAAGACTACTCTACTAATTTTCCTTGATGATCCTGAAACGTTTTTCACATATGTCAGGGGCTGATTTTTGACACTGAGGATAACACTCTAGCAAGTGTCCAATGCAGTGTTCCTTGAGCCCATCTGGAATCAATGCTCATAGCCGTTACACCTTGATCAAGCAATGTGCCATTTGAGCCGTATAAGCCATCAAAATCTGAGTTTGACAAGTACACCTTCTTCAGT